ACTGAGGCAGTGGAACATGACTGAAATTTATTATGATTTCGTCAACGAAACTCTTAGATTTAGAAACATCGGACGCTGTATAGGATCGCGTTCTGACATGCCTTCTGGCTCATGCAGTTAGCCGTTCTCTCTACTCGAGCTTTGCTCAAGTGACAGTCTAGCTCTGTCTCTATTAGTTTTTTTTCTGTTATTTATTTATATATCAAGATATTTGTTAGAAATCAAAAAATTAAAATGCACGATAGATTTTTGATATAAGGATTAGAAAATTCGGTGCAATCCAGGTCGTTTCGTGAGAAAGACAAACGAGATTATACAGGATTCGAGACTGACTGACAGCACTCTAGAATATATATATATATAGTTAGCAAACGTATTCTATCGAATAATTAATCAGTCTATAAAAGAAACTACAACCTACGAACGAGAATTAATCACTATTGTAAATAAACATTTTACCTGACAATATTTCTGTCTTGTTATTATTAGTCAAAAGAGATCTTGAACATGTTGACATAGTTGCACATGAACATGAACTATTACTATCATTATATGATATTGGACTTGTTGACATAATATAATTATCATTAGGATTAGATATAGTAAGATTCCAATTTGTGTAGAATATATTATGTAATTGATTAGCATGAAACATTTCTATGATATATTTATGTATTTGTCGAAAACTAGTTGGTGCCTGAACAATAAAATGATCAATAATAGAATCGATTTGAGTTTGAAATGAATGACGTGTTAATGCTTCAACACTAATGAACTTTTGTGAAGAGAATATTTCAATCTTTTGTTCAATTAGATTTTTTACAAGAGAACAAAATGATGCTAAAAGTCGAAACTGTGTACTTAATATTTTCATGTCTACATTCCAATAATAACTTTCATAGGATTCAGTTCCCCATAGTAATTCAATAAAATTAGATGAAATAAAATAACTTGAACACACTTGATGATAAGCAATTGGTTTAACAGAAAGAAATTTTGAATATTGAATTGCTATTCGTGAACATGGACATGATAATGATGATGAATATTGAGTTTGTAATTGTTCAAATATTAATTCCGTTGGAGATGTTACCTTCACAGAATGTATCTGTGAATTTAATCCAGTAAAAGTTATTATAACTATAAGTGCTAAGACAAAAACAATAATATAAAAACGAGTAGCTATTTGTTGACGTTGTATAATTAATATATCATTTGTTGTTTGTGATTTTTCTGGTAAACAAGGTTTCCGTACTTTATGATATAAATTCATTGCTCGAATAGAATGTTGAAATCGAGTGAAAAACATTGCAATTTTATGACGAATACCTTAGCATATGAAGAAAAAAAAATCAAATTTTTGTTCTTCATTAATCATTACTACGCAACTAAATTAAGCCGATGATCTCAAAACTCTTAGTTAACGTGATTATTAGCCATAAAAAAGTTTGTAACTACTTCAATATCTCGTTTCTTTTTTGTTAAAATTCAATAGTACAACATTTATTCTTAATATAATGGAAGCTAGCAGTCGATTCGAGCTTTTTCAAAAACAACTCGACCTATTTAGTAAGCCAACTGAGGCATAGAGTGAGCCAGATGCAACTCGATGAGCTTTATCGAATGGTGTATACTTCATTCGATTGAAAACGAACTATCGTTAGTCAGGAGTCCTCAAGTATCTAAAACCGGGTTTTCAGCCGGTATTTGCTCTGACAATTCTCTCGACAAGATGAGCCACTGATGAGACATAGCTCATTCGATGCATCTCGACCAGACCTGTCGAATCTTGCATATTTCACTGTATTGAAAACAAAGCATTGTTTGCCAGAAGCCATGTTGTATCCGAAAATCGGGTTTCCAGGAGGTATTTGCTGTGGCAATTCACTCGAAAATCTAAGCCACTATTGAGACACAGCTCATTTGACGTATACCGATCAGATCTGTCGAATATTGTGTGTTTCATCCAACTGAAAGTAAGTAATCGTTGGTTATGAGCTCTGAAATATCCAGAACTGGATGATTCTAAGCCACTATTTTTTCTGACGACTCATTTCATCAGGTGAGTCACTCATGTAACTAAGCTCCTTCGTTGGAGCTAAAGGAGCTCTATCGGTTGGCGTAGATATCATCAGCATCGCTAATCTGGAAAGCAATCGTGAAGGCAAATATGCGTGTAAAACCTCATGAATGGCATTTCAAAGTGAATGGATCGAATCGTTTTTGAAAAATCTCGAATCAGCTGCTAACTTCCCTGACATTTATTCTTACCTTTTTCTACGAAGCGTTCCCTTGTAACGTGTTTCCGATGTTTGCGACAATGAGAATACATTTGTCGGAACAGTCTCATTATAGGAGGAATCAATATTCGAAGTGCTGTAGAAAGACCACCAACTACACCAAGTATAGTTGCAATAATATAAGCTCTGTTAAAGCGTTCTTCATAGGTATACGTACATTGATATGGTGCACATTGACGATAATAGAAACTAAAATTAGTAGAATTTGTCCAACCTTCAATAAATAATTGCGAAACAATTTGATCCAATGTAGTATCAGGAGAAAAACGACTATCAACCGTTGGATCAAGTGGAACAACATTGGCCACACGAGAATCTACTGTGCCAAGATATAAATCATATGAACGCAATTTAATAAGCCTTTGAATACATAATGCATTATAAAAACATTCAAGCGAAGATGCAAGAAGAGAATCAACGAGTACACAACCTACAAGCAAACCCGGTATCGTTTCCTCCGATGTACCTGTATATGAAACAGGAGATGCTACGCTAAGATAGAATCCTTCGGAACGTGTACAAGAAACATTAGTACCACATGAGCACTGGTTGTTCCAATCATTGTTTGATACAAAACGCATTGAGTTGTTATTATCGTTCAATATTTGAACTATTTGAGCATTAGCCCCACCATAAACAATAAACTGATTGAGCTGAATTGAAGTTCGAACCAATTCAAATAGGTCGAGAAAAGATGCCAGAGTCTTAAGTAATCAAAACAAAACAATAAAAAATTGAAAAAACGTCAAGACTGAAATCCTTTTGATATACACAAATAAAGAGAAACTGATAATTTAAATAAGATCAAAATTACTGCAAAGTTATTCAAATTCATAGCAATCATATGACACATATATGATTCTTAATCGATTTTCAAGTTCAACGAAGCTGTAAATCTTAAGATCAGTTCTCTTGTATGGATTTTAGTGGAAAAATTGAGTGAAAATAAACCATAAGAACGAAGAGAAAAATAAATCTGTTGTTATCCAAAACGCCTAGGGTGTGGGTGTGGGTACGAGCCCACTATAACCTCTTCACCCACATCCCACACCTCACACCCAATATTTGGATAATCATTTTCCTAACAGCTAGACTGAAAGATGTAGTTTAGTTTGGTGGTGTTCACGCTCACCAGACTTAACGTCTCTGGATTTCTTTCTATGGAAACTCATGAAAAACAACATCTACAAAACAGCTATCAAAGACATCGCTGAATTATGAATGAGAATTATCAAGAAAATCATCTTGATTTCAAAAGAAGCTTTATGTTGTGTGTTTTTTGTTCAAATATTTCGACAAGGGTAATTTTATGTATTTCAGTTGATAGTGATCATTTTGAACATTTGTAAACCAAATTATATGAAATAATCTTCAAGGAACATGCTATCGAATTATAAAAAAAATTATATAAATAGCTCAAACTGATTCAAAGATATCCATTTTTTTACGCTGGATCTTTTAGGATACTCTGTACATAGTCTTAGGTAAATGATATAGATGAATCAAACAAAATCATATGAGATAACGATTGGCAAACTTTTATTTCGCGTGTAGCCTCAATCAACTAAATGTAAGATCATCAATGCAAGTACTAGATTCGAATCATATATGTGAAATCTATCAGATTAACTTATAATAACTAAGAAAATCAGTTTAATCCTTTCTTTATCACATACCTGCTGTTGAAATTGTTGAATAAGTGCAGATGTTTCTGTATTAAATGTATTCTTTGTCAATACTTGACTACTGACAAATTGTAAATTATTGAAAACAACAAGTTCATTTGTTACAGTATCATTTGACATCTTACATAATGTTTGAAGTGTAGTGAATATTCTAGAACCTCTAACACGAAAATCTAAAGCGTGAAGATTATCAGGTAATCCACGAAAGTAGAGCAACCACGCATTATCTTTGATGAAATCACTTGAACACACTTGATGATAATAAGGCTTTATATACATAATAGATGAATAAGATACAGAAAGATGAGTACATGGGCATACGAGTGTTGATGAATATTGTGTATATAATCTTTCATATTCATTCAATGACGGTTGATACACATTATTAATTCGAATTCGAGCAGCAATTGATGAATAGAAAACTAAAAAAAGTATTCCTATAATGAATAATAAAATATAGATACGTGTAGAATATATTCCATCATTGATGTCAGATGACAATGGAAACATATTTAGTTTAAGTAGTTTCTGGTAAATTTCGCTTATATAGGAAGTAAAACGATATTTTAAACCTATTAAATAAGACTTAGGAATGAAGAGACTAATTATACAAAGTAGAAACTCACTTTGCTTTATACACATTTGATTTTCTGTTAGTGTTTGATCCGTTGTATTTTGAAAATTTTTACTTTTCTGAATTCGTCGTATGAACATGATTATTAAAGGTGTCGAGAAATATAAAATTGTCTTTAGACCACCAAAAAGACTAATAATAGTAACAATTACATAAAGTAGATTGAACCGTCGATCATAAGAATATGTACATGAATGTGGAGAACATACTTGAAAATAACCAGTAAAATTAATCTTTTCATTCCATGATTCAATAAATAAGTTATCAAATAGATCACTCACTGTTGTATTTTGTTTGAAACAAGATAATGAAAGTGGTGTAACTAATGATAATCCATTAATAAATATTTGAATCTGATCAATACATGATTGATTATAGAAACATTCTAGTGTTGATCTAAATAATGAATTGTATGGTAAACATCCAACCATAAGACCAGGTATTGTTAATAATAATGGCGGATCAAAAGTCAAATCTCCAAAAATAGTCCCACTGTGTACGCCTCGACGTCCTGTCCAATTGTAGATGCCAGCTTGATGTACACAAGTGTTGTTTATTAAACAAGAACACCTTATATTCCACATCAGGTAACTAGCCGCAATGCATCCACTAATACCCATTTCAAAAAAGAAACAGTGTGAGTATTTATTGAAAAATTTTTATCGAAACTAAATAGAAGGGTGCAGTTTTCACTATTTAAAAGAGAAAATGAAACTGCATCGAATTGTCTATACCAGATTTTTCTGACAAATATTCTCAGAGTCTTTCGCCAATTTTTTTAGAGAATCCAGGGCGTTGAATAAGTTTATAAGGTGGATTGTTCGTTAAAAAATGAAAAAAACAGTCAATTTCTTATGAAAAATCTTCCGATAGCATGCAGTAAAATGTGTATAAGTCATGATTGACTAAATCTTACAACATCGGACTTATAGAATTTATAGATCTTCAGTTAATGATTCTAGTGCATTCCTGAAAATTGAGATCGTAAAACTTTTACATTAAACAATCTTTCGAGATAAATAAACTTGATAGTAGACTTTGACAACACTTGTTAGAAAATCTGGTATAGACGATTCAATGCAGTTCCATCTTCTCTTTTAAATGGTGGAAATCGCACCTCTCCATCTAGCTTCTATCAAAAGTTATTCAAAAAATACTCACACTGTTTCTTTTTCGAAATAGATATCGGTTTGAATCCCAGGTACAGCTTGAGTAAAATAGTTCGTTCGCAATGCTGAAACGATTCCATTTTCAAAAATATTAAACGACAGAAAATCATTGATATGTTTGATCTTAACGATAGTTGTTGCTTTTAATTGTTCAACAAGTGCTTTTACTTGGGTTTTAAATATACTATGTGATAAAACTTGATGAGTGATCATGTTCCTAGTAGCAAACTCTTTCAAAGCATCTGATACCATTTCTTTTATTGTTCGACAAAGTAGAGCAACTAATTGAAAATGAGATGCTGCCATAATACGATAATCTAATGGATAATAATCACTCATCTGGTAATCAAATAAAGATGAAATAAATGTTTGATTGACAAATTGACTTGTACATATTGAATGATAGTATAAATCAAATATAAGAAATTGATCATGTTGAATTGAACTTTGTTTACACGGACATGAAAGTGTAGTTGGATATTGAAGAGAAAGTTTTTCAAAAGTAATTTCACTTGGTAATTGAATAGTCACAGTATTTATTTGAACACTAAAAGTAGTGAAAACAATAACAATACTAAGAATAGTGGCCAATAAAGAGAGAAAAACTCTTGAAGCGAGCAATTGATCGACAAGTGATAATTCTTCTTTATCCTCGAAAAGATTTATATTGATCAAAATATAATATAGTCGCTTGTGTCGATTCACTTGATCGTAAGATGTTGTTTCGGTCATTTTAGAAACTGCGCAATAGTGTATTTAATTTATGTTCACGATACAGAACTATTAGGAATATGAGAAAAAAATATGGTTGTTATAAAATAATATAAAGGAAAAAGCCTAGAATATTGTTCTGCACTATTTTGTTGATTAAAAATTTTCATTTATGTAAAAGCTACATTCAATTAGTAGAAAGGTTATATGATAAAATGTGTTTTTTGTGAAAGTCTGCTTCCTTCTGATCATTTTTCTTGCTATTCACTTAATTATCATGTTACATACTCAGATATATTAAAAAACAACTTGTATTTACGAAAAGCTATCTGAAAATCACGTTTACCTCTAAAATATTTTTCAAATGATTATATGTTATGTGAAAACAAGCCAGTTATTTCAAATATTTGCAACAGTTACGTATAAATATATCATAATAGCACATTGAGACAAAGTTCGCATTGCAAATAGACGCATGAAACACAATTGAGTTTAGCGTTTTGAAACAAAGCATGAGTGGTCATGCTGGAATTTCATTCTTACAGATACTCATATGCGACATTATTTCATATTCACGCAAGATATATTGTTCACATAGGCATATTGAAGTATTTGTTGTGTATATGATGCATGATGATCAGAATTTCCTTAAATTCAACATGTCAATACAAAACAGCTACATTTTCGAAAGCTTTTTCTAAAATGACTCTGCAATGATATGGGTGTGGATATAGGTGTCGCTGAAGAGAAGATGAACACCCACACCCACACTCGTTATAGCCATCATAAGACCGGATTTTCTGCCTAAAAATGAGCATATAGGTGTACCCAGTCTTTGCTCAGTTTTGAACATAAAATAAAAGCGAAAGAAAACTTTTTTGTACACAAATCAATAGGGAATTCTTTTCATTATTCGACACATATTGAACGAACTTGAAAGAGGGAACCTATCATATCATTTGGTGGTGAATATCTTGATGCAGACAGCCTCTTTGTTGCACTTCAATAGTTTTCAGTCGTGTTTTTATAGCAACAGTAGAATGTTAAATGCATGTATTATACATCGTTCGATAGAGAATTTCAAGCGCTACAATTTTTCTGTGCACCATATTTTATGATCTTGCTGCTGTGAAAAGGACGAAGCCATTTTTCATGATCACTTTATCAGGAACTATGGATATGACCATGTTCGGCTAGATAAAGTCTTTCGACTTTTGGCTTCTATATCTTAAATGAAAGATCGAGTCGAGTTATACTAAAATCCAAAATATGGGGTTGTTTGGTTTTATCACTGAGAAATGCGGGCCGAAACATTGATTTTAGGGCCATTTACCTAGTAAAAACACATAGAAGCTCGAATGTATTCAGTATTTTCTCTATACGTCGGGCATAGTGCAACCGTTTTAGCTTGGGGATGGTAGGTGGGTGAAGGTGAGGATGAGTGACTTCGGGTCAGCGTCAGAGAATCCACTTCAACCTCACCCTCGGTTCTCAATTGGTTTCATAAAAAAGCTAGGCGGACTATCTGCATTGGCTAAAAAGATCAAGTGGTTGAAACTGTGTCCAAAATACACAGGAAAAGAAAACGAAACACTCTGTAATATTTCAAAAAATAAAATGAATCCTGATAAGACAACACTGCACGGTGTGTATCAACATGCACAGCACTTATCTTGAATTTCATTGATGTTTTATCGTAATGCTGCTCGTCGCCATTCTCGTTCTATTATGTTCTTCACAAGTTTACGGCTCTCCAGCTTTTGCTTGCAATTTTGAACATGAAACTTGGTGTAAGATGCAAAATGGTGTGTGGTTTGATCCTGAGCTCCCACTTTATAACTTCACCATTGTCACTGGACAAACCGTACCGGATAAAGAACTAGCACCCACCATGGATCACACATACAACTCTAGTTCAGGGTACTTTGTCTATTGGCATCGCCCGTCGAATGCTACGCATACGTCAATGGATGGACTCTTGAGCACACCCATATTCGAGCAGCGCGAGCATATGTGTTTGAATTTTGCCTACTACGTCAAATCGAGTGAGAGCATCAGCAATGGAACATACCTGAGTGCTCATATCAAAGGATGTTACAGGACAACTTTATGGGTCATACATACAGATGACACTCAAGGCTGGAAGACAGATGAAGTGCAACTTCTCGATCTTACATGCAACGTTACTATTTGGTTCGATGTTTCGCCATACATCTCCAGTGCTGTTTCCGTCGCATTCGACGATATTGTCGTTGATGTTTGTCCACGATATAGAACGACGACAACGACAACCCCTGTATCTGATAATAATTCTATTCGATTCACAACAAATACTTGTCTTCTGACAATTTTATTTTTCCTTGTAATTGCTACTGTCTGACGTAATCGCTTACGATTGCTTAATTGTTTTGTTCATTATTCAGTACATTTTCAAGTTCATTTCTTATTTTTCATTTGAGAAGATTAATGATTTTGTTTAAAATCAATCGAAATAATTAATAAATTTACTCCTATTGATGAAGTCGCAGATTGAAACAATAAATATCAAAGTCATTGTCGTAGACTAACACAATATGTTTTAAAACTATCTCCATATTTCACATATACCCGTATTAACTAGTAAAGTTTATAGTCACAACCAGAGCTGCTGGTCTGGCCTGGTGACCTGCCAGGCACCAGGCCAGGCTAAATTTCGGAATTTTAGCCTAGTCGTGATTTCATATTAATTTTTCTATGAATAACTTTCAAAATAAAATGGTACTATATGTTAAAACTTTTATGCGTGAACTTTCGATTTTCGTAAATGATAGACGGTCTGTTCGAGTGAAAGAGTGAATGAATAAAAGAAAGAAGATAATAACTATGAGTGATTTTATTTCAATAGAAATAAAAGAACAAAACTATTTGCTTCGTTTCACACATTTTTCTTATATACAACAATTTAAATTAAGCAATTTCAACTGATCGTAGTTATGTTTTGACAAATTCTGCTGCCATATCTATTTCAAAATCATCATATATAAACATTTTATTATCTGTTTCCCCATTAGAATCGTTGTCATATACTAGTAAACGAATGTACCATACATTATCCCAGGAGGAACGACACGGCAGTGGAACGGCCGTATACGATAGAAATACGGCGATTTCTGGCCTGGAAACGGTGATCGAATACGTATCACTGTATTACGATGCGATACGGCACTGTTTACGGTCATCTAATACAATGCTATGTAAACGAATCGTATACAATCACCGTATCTAGGCCGTAATGATACTGTGGGAGAAAACTACTGCATACGGTCACCGTATTGACAACGTATTTATACTGTATCAGTAAGGTGCCTTCGACTCAAGCTAAATATCTTTTCAATGTATGCAGTATATAGCTCTCATTGAAATCTCTACGATGGTACTAACAGTCTCGCATTCTATTGTTTCTATGAGTTATAGAACGCTACTAACCGATTTCTCGTTCTTTCTTTTCAAGAAACATGGCTCTTCAGCTAATGTAAAGCTCAGAGAAGAGAATTTCCCTTGTTTTATATGTCAATTGACAGCTTTTCTTGAGTTCTACACGAAGCAGTCAAGTGTGGGTATGAGTGTGAGTGTGGAGTGTGGGTGTGAGTGTGGAGTGTGGGTGTGAGTGTGAGTGTGTGGGTGTGGGTATGAGTGTTGGGTGTGGGGGTGAGTGTGGGGGTGAGTGTGGGGTGTGAGTGTGTTTCAATACGTAATCTACACCAACGCCCACACCCCACCCACCCACATCTACACCCGCACCCACACACATCCACGCCCACACCCACACCCCACACCCACACCCCACACCCACACACACCCACACCCACAGCCACCCACACCCACACGCACACACACCCACACCCACGCCCACACCCACACCCACGCCCACACCCCATACCCACACCCCACACCCCACACCCTTTAATTCTCTATAAATCAGTATAGGTCCGACAATTTTCAGTCAGCAGGTTCATCAGAAATATGTCAAAAAACACGAAGCCATCAGTACATCAAAGACCTAAATCTCTCTGAAAAAAACCGTAATCCAAGTTTTTTCCTATACCATCAAGAGAGAAATCTTATGCATTTTTTCATGCTCTTCCTAATGGTATGTTTGAGGTTGAACTTGGTATATTTGAAGTTGAGTTTTGACATATTCGGTCGCTAAAAAAATCTAGGTTTACCAGAAACATATGGCGCTTCCGGTATATCGAAGTTTTGAGTATCATATCGTTATCAATTGGTCTTTTTTTGAGTCCATCTTGTTCAGGACAATTTTCTCTTTCGAATGGTATATGATTTTATGCAATCGAATACGTAGTAAACAAGATATAGGTTAAAAAGTGTAACTGTATGAACAATTTTTGGACATCAAAACAATTATGCACTTTCCTATTTTTTTGATCAATGATCATAGGAAAAGAATTTTGGCTTGAAAATTTATGCAAATAGACAAGAGACTACGCTGAACACAACGGTGAAAAGCGCAACTCTTCACGATGGTTCATTGTTGAGGGTCCGACAAAGAAAGAAAAAAGTGTGTGTTGTCTGAATAAATTTTGGAGCCACTGTATATGCCTTAATCGCTTAACGATATAGACGCATAATAATGACTTAGTATTCGTCAGCTGTACAAATTTTACCATCA